CAATGTCTTCCTTTGTCACGTTGATCTTTTAAGATGGTAATTCTGCTTAGAAGGCCCTTGTATAATTTAGACGTGCCGTTGGTCACACTGAGAATATAACGGGTTAGGTATTCTTTTAACTTACTTTAGATATAAGATGTTTCAAATCTTGACCACTGAATGATTTTAAACAAATATTTGTTTAGTTCGTAACGTGTTCGGTTGGCATAGAATTAAAAGGAATAATAACGATATTTTATTCTTAATACTGACTTTGAAATATAATATCTGGAAAGTCGAAGAGTCGCTACAAAATGATTTCTCAAGAATTGTTTTTGATACCTTAGATTATTATTAAAATAATTTTAAATCTTCTGTAAACGCACACAGAAACTTTAACAGCGAATCGCTGATTGCAAATAGCTCGGATTGAATGCGCGGACCAACAATGGGTTGCGTTTACTCATCCACGCGTGACGCTACGATGCCAAAGTGTCAGCCGCGCCGGAAACCTGCCCGTATTGAAAAGAGAGATGTAGGCAGGGTTGCCACTTCGAATCAATACTAAAAGTTATCAATTATAAAATTTTATAGAGTAAAAATACACTCGTCCGTCTAAAATTTTATATATTATTTAAATTAGTACCGGATTAAGACGATTTCGATCTATATTGTCAGCACCACTGAAATTGCTTATTACAATTTTAACAACTGACTTCGTTTAAAAATGCAAGTGGTTTTGAAAATCTTTTGTGGAAAGTTTTACCACTCCGTTGCTCGCGAACAAAGATTATTACACATATATCTGTTAATAAAAAATAATAAGCCATTTCTGATTTATAATTATGAATTTAAATTTAACAACAGTAAAACATGCCTTTTAAATTTGAATACATTGAAAACTATATTAAATGTATGTACATTTGGCAACCCTATGTTAAGAGCGTGATACAGCACGGATTAGCGTCTATTGTGTCACACATAAGCGCAAGGTGCAGTTTAACCCATTTTTGCACAAAAACCGAAAGGATTCTGGTGAAAATGTGCGTAACGCAACGTGCACCGTACAGCCATCTGTTCTACTTTTGTTTGGTTAGGACATTGCGTGTTTGGTTATGGCCCAGGGTCTCACTGACCCGTTGGTCGTATTGTACTCGCTTTGACGTGCCGACAGTTTGGAGTTGCGATGTGGATTTGCACATTGTGTCATCGCACAAATACCGATTACGTACGTGTGGGTTTGCGTAACGTTATTGTAAATTAAAATTTGCATTGCGTTTTTATTATATGCGTATATACAGTAAAGTTGCGTGGTGGGCAGAGTAAGCATGATAGATTGTGTATAATCGAAGACCGCGTTGTTTAGAAATTGAATCGGAAGGGCACACACACACCATAGTTCTATCATCGATATCCGATTTAAAGCAGATTATTAGTTTTATATTGCGTCCAATAAAATAGAAAATAAAGTAAAAAAGAAAATTAAGAATAGTTCAACTTGAAATTAAAAACTTATAGAGTTAGTTTTCTACGGTGAGATGAAAGTTAATAATGTTATTAAGTACCAATGTTCATGACGTGGTAGAGCCATGCTGCAGCTATATTACTGGTATAGTTGTAGCACGAATGGGTCGGCTCGACCGGGGAAGTACCACGCTCTTACAGAATACCAGCGTATAATAGCAGCATAACGTTGTTGTGTTTCGTATGGTGAGTGTAGAGAACCGGAGACCCTTTTTTACTGGAAACGAGGCATTCAATCTTGGTCCTCACGGGTGACAACGCATCTGCATTTTGATTCGTAATCGAGGATAGATGTAGATGTCAATGGGCTACAGCAACCACTTACCATCAGGTGGACTGTGTGCTTGTTTGTAACCCTAATTCTTTAAAAAAAATGTGGCACCCTACCGGTAGGCGAAGTGTAAGGCGACCTCCCACTAGATGGAATGACGACCTGGTAAGACGTACAGGAAGTAGATGGATGTAAGTGCTTTGTGGCATTCCTTGGGAGTGGCCTATGTTCAGCAGTGGACTTGTGAAGGCCTGTAATAATGATGATGATGAAGTAGAAATGTTGTGATAAAAACACGTTGATTGAAAATGTATAGAACTCGTAAGGTTGCTCGGTTCCAAACAAAATAAATATTGAAGAATAACAAATGCCAGGGTGATTTATGACGCGATCTATCAAGTACTTATTCACGTTTTGGACAAAGGGTAAATTAGAACCCTTTCTGAATTATTATTAATATTCGCAGTAAATAAATATAATGCATGTTTGTGCAACTCACGGCCCAATCCACCCACGCCTGCATTGGAGGGTTAATCTTAACTATTGAATGAAATTGCACATTTTACGTCAAATGCATTGAGAGGATAGCATCTGGGCCAAACATCAAGGGTTTGACAAAGCGGGAAATTTTGGGGTAAAATTACTAATATATTTAGGCAGAATGGCTCATGTCCATGAAGCAAGAATATTATGTATATAAAAAAATGTTACAAATTCAAATTAATTAGTTCAAACAAGTACAAAGTCGTTTGAAAAATAAAGAAACAAGCAGCGTTCGCATTGACAAAGTTTATTTTTATTTTTGCTGCCAAATAACACTTCGAAACAGTTTACGCAACGCTCTAATGTGTAGTTGTGTGTGTAGGGATTTGAAAACTTGGCGAAGTGTGAATGCAGGATTGTTTTTGGGTGTGCGTAGGGGGAGACGAGGGGGTGAATGGAGGCCTGGGCGGTGGCGTGGCGGCGGTCTTGACATTGGGCGGATCAGCTGATGTGTCTATCGATTGCTCCGAATTTCCTCTTCGCTCTTTATGAATATTTTATTTCAAAGCGAAGCCGAGCGCTTGGTTTGTTTCAGATCAAATGCTAAGGGTATACGATAATCCTAGACCTTAAAGTAATGTATATATATATATATATATATATATATATATATATATATATATATATATATATGTATGTATGTATGTATATATAGGAGAAAATATTTATATACACATACAATTTATGCTGAGGAAATTTTTAATTTATTGCTGCGTATTTTATAAATTGATTTGGCAAAATGATCTTGAATATTCCATTTGAACAAAAAAAAATTACAAAAGCTTTTCTATTAACTTTATTTATAATATTATATGTATAGATTATTAAGGGTTTGTTCTCGAAACTTACACGTTATGTCAATAAAAAAAATATATAAAAATGTTAAGTTGTTACAAAAATACAAAATAATAATTTTAGAAGCGGTTGGATACCTTTTAGATGAGAATAGACACACTAACGACGAGAAACCTCGTCGATTAGCGACGCGTCGGTATAAAGCCATTTAGTCGTTTTATTGCTCTTGTTATCCGTTTTCGTCCGTAGAATATTTAATAAAAACATATGAACGATTTTTTTTTGTCTTCGGAAACGTGAAACCTTAATTGTTACATATTGTTTACTCAAGTAAAAGTTTTAACTTTTCAAGTCGCAATAAAGTATTGTATAATAAATAGCTCTTTTATAAAGATTTGTAACAAATTATACGTAGTACAAACAAAGCACGTTATGTATGAAAATACGAATGAATATCGATCTCCATTACAATAATTTTACTGCTTACATCATGATTTAAAAATGGCGGTAAACGTATAAAAATTATAGTTAGAACACATAATTAAAAACATAGTGATTGAGAGGTGCATACATTTGCCAAAATGGATTGCTTATTGATTTTAAATTACAATAATTCATGTGAATCACAATAGTTATTTTTTATTACAGAGTTGACTGTAGCGTAATGTGTTAATCAAAATAAGGACATATTTTGTTGGGTATAGAATTATTTAAAAACATACTCGAATGACGCCTTTAGATCGACTGACAAAACTTTATAAAGCATAAAGAAATACGATTATTGCAGATTGTGCCCTTTCTTCAGAAAGTATCTGAGAAGAATTAGACGGTAGGCTGGTAACGAGGTAGTCAATATATGATATATAAGTGTGTATATATATTGATTGATATAATATATATTTTGACTGCCTGGTGTTCATAAACGCACATAAAGCTGTTGGTCTTTTTTTATAGAATAAGGGTGACGAGCACACAGTCCATCTCATTGTAAGTAAATGCTGTGGGCCATTTATACATTTGGTCTACATTTACAAAATGCAGATGCGTTGTCATCCCTGAGGACTGAGATGCATTGCCTCGTTTCGTGTAAAATAAGTCTTTAGTTCTCTACACTCACCATACGAAAAACAGCAGCATTAAGCTGCTATTTTACGCTGGTATTCTGTGAGAGCTTGGTCCATGGTCGAGTTGACCCATTCTAGCTATAACCAAAATATAGTTGCAGCGTGGCTCCACCACGTCAAAAACTTGGTACTGCGCCTGATCTTTTTCCGGACGGATAACACTCCCATCGTACTATAAGAGTGAGAGAATCGAGAGAGCACTTGTGTTTACTCATACACTCGGACGCTACGATCCTGCGTGCCCTACACTATACGCTATAATCCTGTCCTGTACAGATGGCTAGATAAATATGTATATATTTATACAGCCCAACCAGAGAGGAGTATGTTATTAAGGAGTATGTTAGGGATTAATCTGAATGACAGGGTGAGAAATTGTTTGATAAGAGAAGAGTGTGGTTTGCAAGATGATGTCGTGACCAGGAATGCTTCGGTGGTTTGGTCATGTAGAAAGAATGAATGAGGAAAGAGTGACAAAGCAAATCTATGTTGTAGAGGTGAACGGCAGTCGGGAAGGGACGCTCTAGGCGAAAGTTTATCGATCAAATTGGAGATATATTGAAAATGGACCAAATTAAGAGTAACTTTAACCGACGAGCGTGTATGCGTAGGTATATGGATGTGGAGGAGGTGAGAGAGGTGTGTCAGGATCGTGCCAAATGGAAGTTTGTAGTCTGCCTACCTCTCTGGGTGACAGGCGTGTTTATTATTATTATTACGCTGTTATAGTACAACAACATTAATGATGAAATAGACGAACTCACCGGTGTTGGGAGCGGTGTACAAGTGATGGTGCCGAGGCGCCGGCGCGGGTGCTAAGAGGCCGTGCAGCAGTGCACGTCCCAAGGAGCCTCGACCGCCCAATGCCAGTGCACCGGGCTCTGCGTCCACTGCGAAAACAAAAACAGTTCTATACACTATCCACTAAATCTATATACGAGTACATAATACAAATAAATTGAAGTGACTGTCTGTAATATCGAAATACAGACTAATAAAAACAAGACATGTATAACAATTTTTAAAAAAATTAACTGTCTGTCTGTTGGCGCTAATCTTCGAAATGGCTGAACCAATTGTAATGAAACTCGACTAACAGATAGAGAGCAACGCTTGGATGGATCTAGACTATATTTTATCCGTGTTTTCCGTGTAATCGAAAATTTTATAAAATAAATGGTATTTGATTATTATCTTAAATGTAAATAAAATCACATTAATAGATCCAGGCGAAGCCGGGGCGGGTTATTAGTTATATATATATATATATATATATATATATATATATATATATATATATATATACACACATATAAAGTTTCATAGTGTAAGTTATAAAGTTTCATTGGATTTAGTGGTATTATTGACAATGATTTCAAACGATACTTTCGACTACAAAGACCTACTTCGAATATTTCGGTAACATCTTTATTACATTAAATTAGGTAACTACAGAAGTGGGGACATGTCCCCGGGGCCTGCGGCGGCGACAGGCGTGGGCAGACCGCTGGATCATAATTTGTTCTAGAGACCTTATCTTGTAAATTGTTAATATCTGACTTCTTGTTTTTTAACCACGTTTAAATTATTAATGTTATTTAAAGTACGTTTGCAGATGTGTAAAATTTACTTTTATTATGTACTGACCGATTTGTAACTAAATTATAAAATGCTCGTGAAAAATGAAATACAGTTGTTGTAGCGTAATTAAGTAAATTTTTTTTATAGGATAAGGGTGACAAGCGAGCACACAGTCCACCTGACTGTCAGTGATTGATGTGGCCCATAGACATCTACATCTATTCTCGTTTGCGAATCAAAATGGAGATGCGTTGTCAGCCGTGAGGACTAAGATGGAACGCTTCGTTTCCAGTAAAAAGGGTCTCCGGTTCTCTACACTCACCATACGAAACACAGCAGCATTAGGTATTTCCCCTTCTTGAGTGTTATCAGATTTTATTATCTATACATACTCTATACATACAAATAAAATTGTAGTGTTTGTTTGTAATAGTGGTAGCTCAGTGGCAAAAGCGCTCGCTTTGAATTTCACAGAACGTAAGCATTACCGGTTCGATTCCCGCTGGCACCGATAAGTGTTAATTGCAATTTTAAATATAAGTATACTCATTTGCTACGTCCTCGGCGGAGAAGTAAAGTATCGTCAGGAAAAATGCGTGTCTTAGGAATAAAAATATTTGGAAGTCACTCTTGGAAGTCACGTCGTCCGCACTGGTGGCACTCTAAGGTATGGAAGGAGGCCTGTGCCCAGCAGTGGTATTAGTATGTAGGCTGTTACTTTACGACTACTATTACATGAAACAATGACGTCATTAACTTATGTTCTCAATTCTCATACAATTAATGTAGAGAAGATTTCATTTTATCAGCTCATAAAAATAATTATATTCGACATAAATCTCAACTACCCTCCTAGCTTTATTGTGAATCATTCAAGTATATGTCTATTGAAGGTTCATAGCCCCCGTTAATACTTATCACAGCACCAATACTCCTACCACCACTACACTAGGAAAGATACACCACCGTCGATAATACGATAATACGACACGTGTTTCACCTCTACACGAGGCATTCTCAGGGAGGGCGGGAGGTGTTCTTCAAATTAGGTAATCATTTTCTACCGACTTCAAAAAGGAGACGGTACTCAATTCGACTGTATGTTTTTTTATGTGTGTTACCTCATACCTTTTTACTTTGTGAACCGATTTAGATAATTCTTTTTTTTTTGTTTGAAAGTTGGTGCTTCACACGTGGTCCCATATAAATTTGATCAAGGTCTGACCAATAGTTTTTGAGTTATTCTTAATAAATTATATTGATGTCGGTTGTACAAAATTTTTAATTTAATATTATATTACGAGTATCTTAGCTAATACATTTTTTAACATCTTTAATATAATGGATTTCCGCAAAGTAACGCCTGATGCTATTAATTATCTAATAAAAGATAGAGTGAATAGACCATTCATTGAAATGTATCAGATTTGTGCTCGCATTACATAATACTAATTGATGTAAGCGGCTACATAAAAAGCGTCACAGGCATGTTACAAGGGAATTACCGCGAGATCGATAGTATATAATCTTGATACATCCGAGCCAGACGCTTCCGTGCGCCGACCTTGGGCCCGACAGCACCCAACCTCCCCCTCCCCATAACCCACCTGTTGTCTCCCCCATCACTGCGCATGTTTGACGCATAGAACGGGACGGGAAAACGCCCTCCCTTTCGTCTGCTAGGTCGAAATGTCTAGACGAAATGTGAACTCTTTACGGCGCTGCCACATGTGGACGCTGAGCATTTGATGCCGGCTTTCACGAGATCTTATGCAAATGGTAGACTGTTCACGATTTCAGTGACGTTTCGGACGACGTTGATGTACAGTTACGTTCGGGAGTGGGCGAAGCTGAATAGCTTGAATGTTCGTCTAATAGAACACTCGTATCAATACTTACAAACATACCTTTGTTTTCTTTTTAGTAGAATTCTTTGTTTTTCATTAAGTGGAATTTAAAATACATGAATTTAAAGTTTTGTTTTGTTGCTTTATTTCGTATCTGAGAATTTTGTTGGAAAACGAATTTTTATAATCATCAACTTCTGGCATAAATGTCAACCTAATTCGTTTCCAATTAATGTATACATAAACATAAACACTCACGCCTGTTACTGTCACAGGGGTAGGCAAAGACTATGGATTCCATATGGCACGATCCTGACACACCTCTCTCGTTTCCTCTACATCCATACAGGTACCTACGCATACACTCTCGTCGGTTAAAGGACCATAATCTTAATTTGGCACATTTTCAATAGATCGCCACTTTGATCGATAAATTTTGACCTAGGCCGTCTCTTCGCGATTCTGCCGTTCACCTCTGCAACATAAATTTGCTTTGTCACTTTTTCCTCATTCATTCTTTCTACATGATTAAACCAATCAATGTATAATACTTCAAAATATAAATTTTAATAATGAGGATTATTCTTACTGATTTTTTAAATTTGGAAGAAGCACTGTGAACATTTTGAAATTATTAGAAAAATATTTTGTTATCTTTAAATGAAATATTAATAAAAAAAAAATCTCTAAACGCTTAAACAATGTCAGCAAATAAATGTTAAAAAAAAATAAAGTGCATCCGTTGCAATAAACTTTCGCGCCATTTTATATTGCAAAAAAGAAAAGCTATATATCTAAGTTGGAGCGGAGAGTGTAAATATAAACAAATAAGATTAATAAATGTAAGTGGCTCAGGTTAAGGAACTAATACAAAGTGGATTAGATCCTCGACTCGATTGAGCAGCTGCATGGTGATGCGATGGATCCGAACATTTGAATTATTCAGGGGGAAGCAGGAAGGAGGACCGCTGCCTTTCAGAGGTCGTCGCTCTGGAAAGTGCATGTAATACCTAGATATGCACAAAGCGACTACGTGAAATATTTTACTGTAGTTCTGTTTTTATTAGGTGGCTGGGAGGGCATTGCACGCGTTTAGATGCGAGCTATTGTGAAATATAAATACAAAACATTTTTATTTTTCGTTTTATTTCAACCTTTGATTTGTTTGCTATTTTTATCATAAATGTGTAGATTATTTAAAATATAATAAAATGCAAGGTATATAACGTAATACAAATAGATAAATGGTCCCATGATATTATGGAACTTATAAGTACAATGTCTATGTGAGATATATAACAAAAAATAAAACTTTTTTCTAGCGCATGGTATATATTATAAGGTAATACAAAGAGACAACTATACACTGAGAAATAGTAATATTAAAATTATTTATTAACTAGCTGTTCCCCGCGACTTCGCCCCGCGTGTAATTTAGGGTTTTAACTATGTTGCGCGGAACCCTAATTCTTATTCTAAAATATAAGTAGCTTAAGTTACTCCTTATAACACCAGCTATAGTTCAGTGAAAGTCCCGTCGAAATCGGTCCAGCCGTTTCGTAGATTAACCGGAACAAACAGACAGACAGACATAAATTTTAAAAACTGTTTTTGTTATAGGTACCGTATATACTTTCATATGCATTTAGTAAAAAGCTCTTATTTCGACATTACAAACAGGCACTTCAATTTTATTTATTTGTATAGATATATATTAAAGAACTTGCATGTAGCTACAAAATACTTTTATACGAATCTCGAAATATGAAACAAACTTCTAAATAGGATCGAAATGTCGCTAAATTAATGAAGTTAACAATTGAAAATTATTAGATCAAAGATGTAGGACAAAGAGCGTTTTATTTAAGCGTATATGTGTGGGTTGTTTAACTGAATTTCTTCGATACGGATACGTAGGTAAGACAATCAATAAGCACTAAATTTGGTTCAATCGACTTCCTTTTACTTCCCAGGTAGACAAAGGACGGGTCAGAAGGGACCTTTACGGATAAATTTAGGTTTGTATGGAGTCCGACGTTTTGTTGGCCGTGTATAAAAAATCAATAAACGTATATCGGTTTTAGTCTAGTTTTTTGGCTATTCAAATTGACGGATAGGCTTCCTTTTCTTCACAATGATGTCTGTAAATACATTTAAATTTTAAAAAATAACGATTTAAATTGGAAAAGTACTACACATAGTTTCCCTTCGACCTTATAAGATTTAAATATAAAAATATCTTTTATTAATATCTGTTACTTCAACAGTATATAAAATATTATATCGATGCTTGTATCATTAGTGCGCAAAGATATTTATGGTAGTAATATTTATATGATCAACATATTTTCAAACGCTTGCATTGATTACACAATAAACTTATTCGCCCCTCTTATTGTAAGCTATTTAGAATATGAAACTTTTATGCGGGCTTCCATCTTAGCTGTTTTTTTTTAATTTTG